TGGTTTTTGTCATACATTGAAATGAATTAGCCATGGATTTACATGTATTCCCCATCCCGGTCCCCCCTCCCACCTCCCTCTCCACCCAATCCCTCTGGGTCTTCCCAGTGCACCAGGCCTGAACACTTGTCTCATGCATCCAACCTGGGCTGGTGATCTGCCTGATTCTTAACCTTTCGGTTTTCAAGGCCCTTTCACACTTGACAGATTATAGAGTGTCTAAAAGAGTTTTTGTTTATATGGGTTGCATCTACTATTATATACAATATTATACAATTTAAAATACTTATTAATTCACTTAAAATAGTATCAGTAAACCCCTTATCTATTAACATATTTTTAAAGTAAGAAATAATTATATTTTCAAAAAAAGGCTAGTGAGAACAATGATATCATTTGTTACATTTTTGCACACCTCTTTAATGTGTGGCTTATATGAAGACAAATGGACTTTCCTACGTTTGTAATCAGTTTGCTGTATGTGTTGTTTTCTTTTTCTTTTCTTATTTAAAATCTATTTTTAATTGAAGGATAGTTGCTTTACAATATTGTATTGGCTTCTGCCATATATCAACATGAATTAGCCGTAGGTATACATATGTCCCTTCTGTCTGGAAGCTCGCTTGCACCTCCCTCCCCATCCCAGGCCTCTAGGTTGTTACAGAGCCCTGGTTTGAGTTCTCTGAGTCACACGGCAAATTCCCATTGGCTCTCTATTTCACATACGGTAGTGTATATGCTTCCATGTTACTCTCTCCATTTGTACCACCCTCTCCTTCCTCCCCAGCCCACCCCCACCCCACGTCCATTGTTCTCTACCTCTGCGTCTCCACTGCTGCCTGCAATTAGGCTCATCAGTACCGTCTTTCTAGATTCCATATGTATGTGTTAATATATGATATTTGTTTTTTGTTTGAAGATATGAAGACAATCAAACCTCACACTGATAAGCAGTTGAAAAGAGGAGAATATATTAATAGTTTTTAAAAGTTGTTGTTGAAATGGCAAACCACTCCAGTATTCTTGCCTGGAAAATCCCATGGACAGAGGAGCCTGGCAGGCTATAGTTCCTAGGGTCTCAAAGAGTCAGATATGACGGAGCCTGCTGCTAAGTCATGTCAGTCGTGTCCGACTCTGTGCAACCCCATAGGCGGCAGCCCACCAGGCTCCCATCCCTGGGCTTCTCCAGGCAAGAATACTGGAGTGGGTTGCCATTTCCTTCTCCAGACTGAGCCTACACTCATATAAATACAATAAAATTTGTTGTGAATATCCTTCTTTGATAATTCACCAAAACTCAACAAGCAGACGTTTTGAAAGGGTTATCCTAGAATCTCAGACCATATTAATGAATTCTTTGTTACATTAGAATTCATTGGTCTATCACAAAATATAAATCGGTCTCTTATGATTCTGTAACAATATACTGGTCGTTTGGAAAAGATTGATTCACTGGGTTATCCACATCTTCCAAATGCTGACACATTTCATTATCTAATATATATACATATGTAAAAATCACACTTATTGATATCACCACTGATCTCATCAAGAAAATCTTTACATTTTGAGAGACTGTCAAACTCATGGTGGCAGAGCCAAATTTTTCAAAGTTTAATTTTTGCTTGAAAGTTCCAGTCTTATTACACTAACACATCCTGTTGGTTTTCCTTGAAGTAAAAGTTTAACTCTGTTCATTTTCAAGATAAATGTCTGCCTTATATACTGTAGCATGAGTATCCACAATTGAGCTGTTATTTGTTCCTTCAAGTAAAAAATGGTGTTTCTATGAAAAAATAGCTCACTTTACCCTTCAATCATGCAAGTGCTTTTCCTTGAGACAATCATGGTTGAGAGCTAATAAAATGAATAGCTTTCATTGCTTTAGTAAGAACATTTCTCAAGTGAAAAACATTTTCGTTTTGAAAGAATACAGCATGAGGAATACAGTGACTGCTAGTGCAGTTTGCTGCCACCTGCCTGGTTCCCGGTAAGATACTAATAGTCTCCCTCAGGGAGCCCCTCAGCCTGTTAGTCTCCAAGAATTTGCTGGTCTCAGGATGGACCTGGGCTCACCTGCTTCCCCTCCTCTCTCTGGCAGCCACCACTCACTCAGTCTCTGCTCAGGGTTCCCACCTCCCATAGCCGTCTGCAGAGGGGAGCCATTCTCCTCTCCCTAACCCGATGCTCTGGGGGCCACAGGCCTCCTCTCTGAAAGCTTTAGTGTTGGTCAGCCTGGGAGGTGGAGGCCTGGGAGACGGTGTCACATGACGCTTCCTCCACGAAGGCTCAAGTGCTCCCAAGACCAGAGCCTCGGACTGTGGAGGAGACGTGGAGCATGTGAGGTGATAACTGTGGCTTTGAGCTGAGAGTGGCTGAGGGGATGGAGTATCCTGGCTTGTGGGAGGCTTCTTGGGTGGCTGACAGTCTGATGCAGAGGTGGGGGTGGTGGGTGAATGGTCCCCTTGGCCGCAGAGTGGGAATCAGTTCTAGTGATAAGGACATATGTGCATCACCTCCTGGGATGTACTTTTCTATTTTATCTGCCTGCTGCTGGTGGGGCTGATGGAAAGGGGTGGGAGGTGGGGGTTGGGGAGCAACCTCCATCCAGAACCTTCAGACTCCTGGAGCAGATCTGTCCCCACAGGTAGAAAGTTCCCAGAGGTCAGGACTTGACCCCCAGGTCCCACAGCACCCCTGGGTTTGCCAGGCTTCCTGGGAGCCTTGGGCAGCCGCACCCTTTCCCAGGGAGGAGGTATCTGGGATTATTCACAGGGCGGGTCCCTGCTGTCAACACCTGTCTGGTCTTGATTCTTCTTGGTGCTGTGGACTACAGAGGGAGCCTCTCAGAGCCTGGCCCTCCTCCTTGCCCCCTTTTGTTAGGGCTCCTGGCCTTTCTCTTCTCTCTGAAAAGCCAGGGCCCAGTCTCAGTTCCTGGGGAGAGAGTGCCCTCTAGTGCCTGGGAGGGTGAAGACTGAGGAGGAGGGCAGGGCCAGAGGCCAAGCCTGAAAGGAGGCCCTGCCAGCCAATGAGGGGTGAGCCGGCTGCAGCTTGACCTGTGGAGCTGGGAAACAAGGGACCCACAGGTATTTCTGAGTGTGTGTGTGTGTGTGTGTGTGTGTGTGTGTGTGTGTGTAGCTGTGTTTCTTCTTGAGAAGCCCTCTCTTATCAGAAGGACTGGACTCCACCAGATGAAGTGTAAAGATCAGGAGTTTTGCTCTGCTCTGTTAATAGGCCCCTCCCCCTCCTCAGCTCTTATATCCCCTCCTCTTCCCAATCGCAGTCTATTCCCAGCTGGGAAGAAATTCTCTGCATTAGACCCATCGAAGTGAGTTTGCATTTTTCCATTCTGCTACCCCTAGTCCCTGGTAGCTCAACTGGTAAAGAATCCGCTTGCAATGCAGGAGACCCTGGTTAGATTCCTGGGTTGGGAAGATCCCCTGGAGAAGGGAACGGCTACTCACTCCAGAATTCTGGCCTGGAGAATCCTGTGGACAGAGGAGCCTGGCTGGCTACAGTCCATGGGGTTGCAAAGAGTAGGACACGACTAAGCAAACTTCACGTTCACTTTCACCCCTGGACCTTACAGCCCTCTTCTATAAGAGTGGGGTTAGCAAGTCTAGATTGCAGGCTTGGTGTGAGGATTAAATAAAGCATGTGTGAGTGTCTACTCAGGCCTCACACATGGTAGGCACTCAATGAGATCTGGTTGCCCAGGGAAACAGGATGGGGGTGTTTCCTCATTCAGTGAGCACCTGACATGTGCTGGGGACCCAGAGAAGCCTATCCAGGTGCTAGCCTTCAGGAGGGCAGATGGGGCCATGCAGTAGGGTGGGTGCCCCGTTTGAGGGGTGAGCACAGTTGGGGTAACCATCACTGTCTTTCATAGAGCCGAGGTCTCTCCTGTGTCCTGGAATCACATGAAGATGATGTGGTGGCTTCTTGTCTTCTCCGCTCTGGGTCTCGGGGCCTGGGGTGAGTTTTCTTCATTGGCTTAGAGAGTAACTAAGAAAGATCATCCTACAGTCTGATAATAGGAAATCTTTAAACGCCTGCTCTCTGTTAGGAGGATGGTAGGAAGTCAGAGCAGGAGGACAGCTTTGCATTTAGAGCACAGAACTTGGAGTCCATAGACCTGGATGCAAATCCTAGCCCTGCCTCCAGCAATGATTTTAAATAAGTTAGTCACCTCTTGAAACCTGAATTTTCCCACCTGAAGACTGACACAGGTTATGATCTATATTTATTGTGAGAATAGAATGGGGAAATGCACTGCTGGAAGGACTTAGCACTTGAGCAATGGGGCAATGATTCTATTTGCAATATTATGTAAGCCTATGACTGGGGTTTATGGTTGTCAGTGAGAGAAAGTTCCTTCGGGGTGGGAATCTGTTGAAATCCCCAAAGTCCCTCCCACAGGAGCATGGACATAGCAAATGCCCCCAGAATTAATCCCAGAGGAACTGACTTGATTTGTGCAGAGAATTCCAGTCCCTTCTGGGCACAATTTGTCCCATTGCTTCCATTAGGCAAAATGCATATAAGGAGAGACTTTGTGGTTTTGAAGTGCCTGGATGCATTTCCAGGTGGTTTTTGTTGTTGTTTTTGTTGATTTTGCCAATTGTGTGTGGAGATGTGGCTCATGAGAAAAGGACAATATTTCTGACCCCCTGCCCTTGTCTGTTTAAAACTTCCTGGGAGGTTACCTGGAGCTGGTGTTGGAGAAAACCAGGCCTCGCGGTACTGCTGGAGGTGGTCCTCTGGCCCCGCAGGGGCTTCCTGAAAGGACTCAGAGATCTGAGGAGGCAGAGGGTTGTGGAGAGGAGCCTGAGCCGCTGCCAGAGAGGACTGGTACTGGGGCTCTCTGAGGGCTGATGTGAAATGGAATGTTCCCTTACAGGTGGTTCCTCCTGGGATAAAACACAAGGTAAACACCTATCCGAGGGGCTTCAGGACCTGCTTGGCAACATCTCCCAGCTCATTGAAAAAGACAAACGGGGTCTCAGTGGTGAGGAGGTTTGAGGACCAGCTGGGTTTCTCTTGGGACCAGGCACTTAATGGTGGGATGGGGTGGTTGGGGCTAAGACACAGGAATACCTCCCTGGGTTGTCTTAGGCCTTGGCAGGGAGGGAAGGGGGGAAGGGGAAGTGGGGGTGCTGCTGGGAGGGGCCAGAACCCCAGGAAAGGGAGGTGCAGTCTGTGCGTTAAGGCCCCCCTAGCCTGAGGTTGGAGACTCGCACTTTGCCCTCAGGAGTCCCCGGACTGAAGGGGAGTCACGGGCCCTGCCTGGAGGGCCCCCCAGGTTGAGGAGGAGATGCCCCACTCCAGGAGCGCTGGGAGCAGGGCGAAGGAAGCAGAGTCCCGGAGGAAACTGTCAGTGAGCTTGGAGAACTTGGAGGGCAGCAGCCCTGGGGTGAAACTGTGAGGGGCCCCTGGGGGCTTTCCTTGGGGCAAATGGTGAAACAAAAGGCTTCCTGGATCAGAGCAGGGAGGGACCCTCAATCAGAGAAGGTCATCCAGGTGTGAGGGCCAAGCACCTAGGCTGCTCTGGGCAGGCGCAGTCCCTGCATTGGAGTGAGTAGTGAAACGGAAACATGGAGGCAAGAAGAGGAGGCTGTGCCCGCCTGCCCACAGAAGGCCTCCTCCTGCAGCCCTTCTGCAGCCACCACAGGGCAGAACTGGCCTCGGCTGGTGCGAGTGGCCCAGGGGCCCGAGGTGGCAATAGTGGAGCAGGGTGTGCCAGTGACACCCGCGTGGCTCCCCTGCAGGTGTCTCCACCATGGTCTCTCGCAAGCAGTGGGGGGCAGACGCCGTTGCCTGCAGTGCCCAGCTGGCCCTGCCGGCGGGCTTCCTTGTCACGCACCACGTCCCTGGGCTGGAATGTCACAACCAGACCTCGTGCAGTCAGAGGCTGCGGGAGCTGCAGGGCCATCACGTGCGCAACGGCTGGTGTGACATAGCCTACAAGTAAGAGGCTGGGCTGGGGGCATGTGACCCAGCGCTCCTAAGGGTGCCTCCCTCGCCCCTTCTCTTCTCTAACTGTTTCCCTCATTTTCTGGGTTGTGGTTGTACCTGGTTAATAATGAATGCAATGAAAAAATATCCTATAAAATTCCAAAGCCTTTGAAATTTTCTGTGAGGTTCTTGACTTTGAGCTCTCTTGAAAGGAAGCAAGGAAGTTTAAGTGATGACTCTACTTTCCGTTCGCCTCCTAATGGTTCACACAGCACATCCCAGGTTAGGAATCGCTTCCCCGTCTGTGGGTGCATGGGTGCGTTTGCCCCTGACAAAGTGTGAGGTTGGCTGGGCGGGTGTCACCATCTCCATGTTACAGGCGGGGGCACCGATGAAGGGATCGAGGTCACACTGCTGCTAAGTTGTGGCCCAAGCCCCTTTGCCCTCTGATCCTTCCACTACAGTGTGCGTTGGGGCTTTCACCTCAGTGAGGGAGGCATCCTCTTCTTCCCCTGCTGGTCACTCTAGCAGGCCCTCCTAGGGCCCAGGACCCAGTTCCTCAGCCCACCTCTGACTTCAGTTCATTGTGGACGATTCCCGTGTGTGGGAATGGCTTCCCACCTCAAGAGCACCTGCATCTCTCTACTTTTCTGCTTCAGGCTTTCGTCCAAGTCCCTGACGGTGAACCCCCGGGAGGGCAGGCTTTGTGGCTAACTTCTTAATCCCCAGCCATCTGAAGGGATACTTTTAAGTACTTCTCTCCTTGGAAAGTCACATGTCAAGGAGCGGGGTGCTGAGCCCCAGGTGTCCATGGGGAAGCCAACCCAATCCTTCACACTTTGTCGAGTTTCTTCCTGTCTCACTCCCCTGGCCCCTTCAGTCTGGCTTCTGGGGGCTCTTCCCAAATAAACTGACTGCGTCCACATCCTTGTTTGAGGTGCTCCCTCCTGGGAAGTCTAGGTAAGAGGTTACCCTGGCAGAGAGAAATCACACAAACAGCCTGTGTGGAGATCACAGACACACCTCATTTTGGAAGGAGGAGGAGAGCCATGTTTGAGGAAATGTAGAGGCTGAGAAGGATCTTATACTGTTTGGTTGGGTCTGGGGAAGCCTCTGGGTGGCAGCTCCCGGACCCCATCCTTTTCAAGTGTGTAGGATGATTTATACAAAACCCAGCATCTGAACTGGGGATGGGGTGAGGAACACGGGAGTGGTCCTTCTAAGGATGAGTGTAAGTCACCTTGTCTATCCATTGTCTCGGATGAATCCACGCAAATTCCCTCTAGTGAATTTGGTTTGGCCCTTCTCCCTTAGGAGGCTAGGCTGGGGCTCCTCTTGCAGGGGTGTGCCTGGGGCCAGCCACTAAGCCTGGATTTCCCTCTCCACAGCTTCCTGGTTGGGGACGATGGCGGGGTGTATGAAGGTGTTGGCTGGAATGTCCAAGGTGTGCACACCCAGGGCTACAACAATATCTCCCTGGGCCTCGCCTTCTTTGGCACCAGCAAAGGTAATGTCACCCCAGCTGTTCTTCTCCATGGAGTTAGCTAGTTCTTTTTCTCACACTGTCTCTCCACCCTCCTCACACTGGTGATGACACACCCTCTCCTGCAATTCTCCTCTCCCCTGACTTCCGTGAACGGTCTTCCTCCTCCTGCTCTGGCCTCCTCCCAGCCTCCTCGCCCCCTGGCCTCTCCATCCTTCCTCCAGGGAGGAAGGCTCAGGGAAGGCTCTCCATCCTTCCTCCCGCACCCTGGTTCTGCTCCCTCTCTGGTCTTAGGAGGATCTGGGCTCCAACTCTCACTCTTGCATCAAAGACTAGAACACCTTCTCTCTAGCTCAGATGCTTCTGTAGTATCAGGCCTTGATTCTGACCAGCCACTTCCTCCTTCCATCTCTCTCTCTGTCTCTCTGAGACTTTCTGTGCAATTTTTAAAAGCCATGTTGGGGCTCCAAACCCCAAGTCTCCTCCATGGTCCTCTAGTCTTATTGCCACCCTGCCCACCTGCATCCCAACATACATCTATTGAGTTTCTGAATGTTTACAGTTAATAAGTGGGCTTCCCTGGTGACTCAGTGATAAAGAACTCATGTGCAATGCAGGAGATGAGGGTTCGATTCCTGAGTTGGGGATATCCCCTGGAGAAGGAAATGGCAGCCCATTCCAGTACTCTTGCCTGGGAAACCCCATGGACAGAGGAGCCTGGCAGGCTACAGTCCATGGAGTCTCAAAAGAGTCGGACATGATTTTGCGACTAAATAACAACAACAGTTAGCAAACATCTAGTTTCTCATGGCCCCCTCCCAATATCTTCTGAGATGGCCCAGATAAGTTTCATGACTACTATTATAGTAGGTACAGCCTAAGTTTCAGAGAGGTAAGTGACCCAGGTGACACAGTCGTAAGGAGAGGAATCAGAACACAAGCTCATCCCTTCCATTTCCGCTCCAGGGCAGCTTCCGGTTTGCCAGAGGAGTCTTGATGTTCAACTTGGTTGATTTCCGTGACCACTCTTTGCCCCTGGGTGTTACCTTGTGAGCGGTGGGATCTTAAGCTCAGTACTTCTTGGCAACCTCAAGTTCCTCTTTATGAACAGTGGGGTTCATCATAGCGTCTGCCTCACAGGCTTGATGTGGGGATTACAGCGGTCACTGCAGGCAGAGGGGCTGGCACATGCCTGAAGGGCCCTAGTGATGGGAAACCCTCACGCCGCCAGGGGGCGTTAATGAGCACGGGGCTGCCATCCAGCTCTTCCCCAGGGAGACAGATAAACGGAGTCTCGGTGGATCTTTGGGAAAGGTCTTTCCAGTCACCAAAGCTCTGTCCAGGCGGACCCTTGAGTTCCAAGCTGTCCGACGCTCAGGATGAGCCTGTGCCCCGTCCTCCCCCTTCAACAGCTATGCGGGGGCTGGCAGGACATCTCGTCCTCCCCCACAGAACTCTGCTACTCAGGCCAGATTGAGGCTTCCTAAGGATCACTGTCTTTCAGGCCACAGCCCTAGCCCTGCCGCCCTGTCAGCCATGGAAGGTTTGATCTCCTTTGCTGTCCGCAAGGGCCACCTGTCACCCGTGTACATTCAGCCACTCCTTGTGAAAGGAGAGAGCTGCCTGTCCCCTCAGCAGAATGCAAGTGTCAAGGAAGGTAAGACTTTCAATCTTAAAAAAAAAAAAAATTTTTTTTTTTTTTTTTGGCAGTGCTGCATGATGTGTGAGATCTTAGTTCCCTGACCAGGGATCAAACTCATGTTGCCTGTTTTGGAAGTATGGAGTGTTAATCCCTGAATCACCAGGGACGTCCCTAAGCCCTTGAGTCTTACTGGACCTCCCTCCAGATTCACTCCCACTCACTTTCAAATGCCATTGGATGTGACTTTTTCAGTCAGGCACTCACTGGAGTTGTTCTTTTTTTTTTAATTATTTTTTAATTGGTGGAAAATTGCAATTTTGTGTTGGTTTCTGCCATAAAATAATGTGAATCAGTCATAGTTATATATATCCCTTCCCCCCTCCCACCCCTCTAGGACATCACAATGTGCCAGGCTGGGCTTTCTGAGTTATTTAGCAACTTCCTGCTGTCTATTTTACCGATGATAGTAAATATATGTCAATGCTGGTTTCTCAATTTGTCCCACCCTCATCTTCCCCTGCTGTATGTACAAGTCTGTTCTCTACTAGGTTCATCAGTACCATTCTTCTAGATTCCATATATATATGTTACTATATGATACCTATTTTTCTCTTTCTGACTTACTTCACTCTGTATAAGAAGCTCTAGGTTTATCCATCTCACTACTACTGATTCAGATTCATTACTTGTTATGGCTGAATAATATTCCATTATATAAATGTACCACAACTTTTTTTAAAAAATACAAATTCATCTGTTGATGGACATCTAGGTTGCTTCCATGTCTTGGCTATTGTAAATATTGCTTCAGTGAACATTGGGGTACTTGTCTTTTTTATAATTGTGGTTTTCTTGGGGTATGTGCCCAGTAGTGGAATTTCTGGGCCATTTGGTAGATTTATTCCTAGATACTTAAGGAATCTCCATACTATTCTATTTGTTTTCTGTAATGGCTGTATCTTTTTACATTCCCACCAACAGTGCAGGAAGGTTCCCTTTTCTGCATACCTTCTCCAGCATTTACTGTGTGTAGATTTTTTGATGATGGCTATTCTGACTGGTATGAATGATACATCACGGTAGTTTCGATTTGTGTTTTTCTCATAATGAGTGATGTTGAGCATCTTTTCATGTGTTTATTCGCCATCTGCATGTCTTCTTTGGAGAAATGTCTGCCATTTTTTTTTTTTTAAATTGCGTTGCTTGTTTTTCTGATATTGAGCTGTATGAGCTGCTCGTGTATTTTGGAGGTTAATCCTTTGTATGGGAAACAGTGGAAACAGTGGCAGACTTTATTTTTTTGGACTCCAAAATCACTGCAGATGGTGACTGCAGCCATGAAATTAAAAGAAACTTACTCNATCACCGACTCAATGGACATGAGTTTGAGTAAACTCTGGGAGTTGGTGATGGACAGGGAGGCCTGTGCTGAAGTCCATGGGGTCACAAAGAGTCGGACACGACTGAGCAACTGAATTGAACTGAACCCTTTGTCAGTTGCTTCGTTTGCAATTATTTTCTCCCATTCTGTGGTTTGTCTTTTCATGTTGTCTCTAGTTTCCTTTGTTGTGCAAAAGCTTTTAAGTTTTATTAGTTTCCACTTGTTTATTTTTGTTTTTATTTCCATTAATTTAGGAGGTGGGTCAGAGAGAATCTTGCTGCAATTTATGTCAAAGAGTGTACTGTCTATGTTTTCCTCTAAGAGCTTTATAGTTTCTGGCCTTACATTTAAGCCTTTAATCCATTTTGAGTTTATTTTTGTGTATGGTGTTAGGAAGTGTTCTAATTTCATTCTTTTACACGTAGCTGTTCAGTTTTCCCAGCACCACTTATTGAAGAGGCTGTCTTTTTCACTGGAGGCAACTGGTCACCCAACTCTCTGAAACCTTAGGGCTGGCAAACCTTGCGAGGCCCCCTCCAGGTCACCTACTTGTCCCTCGGATTCCTAGAATGATAGAGGCATGGCACTCTGCATAGTCTACCGTGTGTTCACTCATTTCTACATCGGTTATTTACTGAGCACCTGCTCGTCACTGAGGATGTATCAAGAAAGCAAACACACAACAGCAGTGCCCTCATGAAATTTCAATCAAGATGGCAGAGAAGCACAATAAGAACACAAACAGTTAAAATAGTTGGCATGTTACATGGTGAAATGCTGACAAGTGCTATGAAGGGAAAAAAGCCTGGCGAGGGATAGGATATACCTACCAAAGCGCAAATGCACCTCTTTCTGAATACAAAAATTATCAATAGAACCGCATTAATAGACCAAAGAGCTTAAGGTATTACTTGTATTGACTTAAAGGAAGAATTTAACACAATTCAAGGAAGATTAAAAGCAGATTTGGAGTTTAACAAGCAGCGACATCAAAACCAGTACAGTTAGAAGGGAGTTTCCTGGCGGTCCAGTGGTTAGGACTCTGTGCTTTCATTGCTGGGGGCCCCGGTTTGATCCCCCGTTAGGGAACTTAGATCCCACAAGCCATATGGTGTGGCCTAAACAAACAGTATAGTTAATAGGCACTATTAACCTTTTCTTGGACTTAATAGAATTTTAAAGAAAATTGGAATTTTGTGTTAGACCTTGGAGTGAATTTGATCTCTGCCTTTGGATGGTGTCATCTGCCAGTATTAATAATTGCTTACACTGACAGTTTTGTGGACTACAAGTGATTCTTAAAGACATGTTTTTAGATGAAAATTCAATTGATTTCTCCAAAAAGACCCTGTTACACACACACACACACACACACATACACACACATGACAGTTGTTCAGATAAATAAGTACACTTTGCAGGAGGGATAAAGCATCCATGATCCTCAAGATCAACATTCCCATTCTCCTTTGGGTTCTGATTTTTGGGGTTGTAACTGGTGATTCTTGGCTCCTGCACCTTGGAAGGCAATTCCTATTCCCAGATGGGCCACTGGGAGCTACTGGGCTCTCCAGGTCCGTAGTCACGGTCAGGGCAGGATGCTGAGAGGGTGGGCGGGATGTTCAGTAGTAAGGTGGGTGACCTGAGCGGGCACATACATGTTTTTGCCTCACTGCAGCTTGCCCACTTATTGTCCAGCGGTCTGCTTGGGATGCCAGGGAGACCCACTGCCCCAGGATGAACCAGCCGGCTCAGTATGTCATCATCATCCACACCACGGGGAGAACCTGCAACAAGTCTGATGAATGCCGCGTGCTGGTCCAAGATATCCAGTCCTTCTTCATGGATAGATCAGACTCGTGTGATATCGGGTACAAGTAAGTGTGCCTGAGGCTGTGAAGGCTTCTCGTCCCATGGGGGTGTATACTGAGCCTGTGAAAGGAGTGGGAAGAGGAGCTAATATTTACTGAGAGCCCAGCATAGGAGAGGTGGTCCTTCTCATTCACAGATTCCTCACCAAGCCCTGGGTGGGCCTTATTTAGGCCTTATTTGAGCACGTTCTCAAAATGTGTGTCTTTATTATTTTAACTGAAGTATAGCTGTTTATAATGTTTTGTAAGTTTCAGGTGTTCAGCAAAGTGGTTCAGTTTTATACATACATATATATTCTTTTTCAGATTCTTTTCCCTTATAGGTTATTCAGTTCAGTTCAGTTCAGTCACTCAGTTGTGTCTGACACTTTGAGTCCCCATGGACTGCAGCATGCCAGGCTTCCCTGTCCATCACCAACTCCCACAGCTTGCTCAAACTCCTGTCCATCGAGTCCAGGATGTCATCCAACCATCTCATCCTCTGTCGTCCCCTTCTCCTGTCTTCAATCTTTTCCAACTTTAGGGTCTTTTCAAACGAGTTGGTTCTTCACATTGGGTGGCCAAAGGATTGGAGCTTCAGCTTTAGCATCAGTCCTTCCAATGAATATTCAGGACGATCTCCTTTAGGATTGACTGGTTTGATCTCCTTGCTGTGCAAGGGACTCTCAAGCATCAGTTCTTCAGTGCTCAGCTTTCTTTATGGTCCAACCCAAATATATGTGACTACTGGAAAAACCATAGCTTTGACGATATGGACCTTTGTTGGCAAAGTAATGTCTCTGCTTTTTAATATGCTATCTAAATTGGTGATAACTTTTCTTTTAAGGAGCAAGTGTCTTTTAATTTCATGGTTGCAGTCACCATCTGCAGTGATTTTGGAGCCCAAGAAAGTGAAGTCTGTCACAGTTTCCATTGNTGGGTCATGAAGATCTTTTTTTAATATAGTTCTTCTGTGTATTCTTGCCACCTCTTTTAATATCTTCTGCTTCTGCTATATGTTAGGTCCATATGATTTCTGTCCTTTATTATGCCCATCTTTGCATGAAATGTTCCCTTAGTATCTCTAATTTTCTTGAAGAGATTTCTAGTCTTTCACATTCTATTGTTTTCCTCTACTTCTCTGCACTGATCACTGAGGAAGGCTTTCTTTTCTCTCCTTGCTATTCTTTGGATCTCTGCATTTGGATGAGTATATTTTTCCTTTTCTCCTTTGCCTTTAGCTTCTCTTCTTCTTTCAGCTATTTGTAAGGCCTTCTCGGACAACCATTTTGCCTTTTTTGTATTTCTTTTTCTTGGGGATGGTCTTGATCACCACCTCCTGTACAGTGTCACAAACTTCTGTCCATAGTTCTTCAGGCACTCTATCAAATCTAATCCCTTGAATCTATTTGTCACTTCCACTGTATAATCCTAAGGGATTTGATTTAGGTCATACCCGAATGGTCTAGTGGTTTTCCCTACTTTCTTCAATTTAAGTCTGAATTTGGCAATAAAAATTCATAGTCTGAGCCACAGTCATCTCCTGGTCTTGTTTTTGCTGACTGTATAGAGCTTTTCCATCTTCGGCTGCAAAGAATATAATCAATCTGATTTTGGTATTGACTATCTGGTGATGTCCATATGTAGAGTCATCTCTTGTGTGTTGGAAGAGGGTGTTTGTTATGACCACACAATATTAAGTATAGTTCTCTGTGCTATACGGTAGGTCTTTGTTGGTTATGTCCTTTATGGACAGTAGTGTGAATGTGTGTCCTTTTGAAAGGTCAGATATTGACATGATGGAGACCAAGGCTCTGCTGAAACGGTGCTATAGGACATCAAATGCAGGGAAGATTGTAAAACCTGTAGAAAGGAGCATCTAAAGATTATGCATTTTTCACATAATCACCTGCCACTCCTCAGCTTAGGCTCTGTCTCTCAGTTCAGCCCCAACCTGAAGTTTGTCTCCCTCATATTAGATTCTTCTTTGCATCTGGAAAGTATCATTCTCCTTGGGGAGGACATCTTTCCTTACACAGGAAGATGAGGTGACCGGGAGCAGCCAGAGAAGAAGCAACTGGGAGAGTGCAGTGTGACAGAAGCTAAGGATGTTTGAAGAGGTGGGAATTGGCAGGGCCTCTGGAACAGAGAGGTCAGGGAAGGCAAGGTCAGGGAAGTGTTCTCCTGTCCGGATAGTACCTTTGGATTTCTCTAGTGGCAGAGTCTGTAATCCTTTTATAAAGAACACACGGACCTAACAGAAGAGTGGAGACTTCTTGAAGGATGCTTTCAGAGACTGAAGATAAGATGTTTGGGGTTAGATACTATCTCATATCTTGGACTTAGCATCTGAACAACAACAACAACCACAAGCACCACCACCACCACAACAACGTCCTATCAGAAACAATTGCACAGAATTTTAAATCTTAGGGTGGGTTTCTACTAACCCAGATGGCGTATTTGTGCACGTGAATCAAAGGAGCTAATGAAGCTGGATTTTAGTCCCTACTTGTCCCCAAGCCCAGGACAGCTATGTGCAGGGACTCTGCCTTAGATGGATTTACCACTGCTTGATATGTACTCCTGGGCTGACTGCCTCTCCTCTCTCCAATCCCTGGTAGTAACATCGTTTTCAAGGTAGGAGGAAACTTTTCCTCCAACATCTATTACCTATCAGGATGTGTTTTGCTGGGCCCTGCTATGCAGAATTATTCCCAGTAGGAGGAGGGAATGGTGGGATTTTTTACCAAGATCAGGAGCCCAGCAAGGGGAATAGGTGGGTCCAGGAGTGGGTTCATGGTCTTTCTGGATGGCAGCTGAACCAAGGAAGTAGATGGGTTAGTCCTGGGACAATGTGTCAAGTGAGAAGAGGGGAGTTAGGGTCTCATCCTGAGGAAACCCCCACATGCAGGGAAGGACATAGGATGATGAGGTGATGAGGAGCAGCCAGAGAAGAAGCAACTGGGAGAGTGCAGTGCGAGGGAAACTAAGAATGTTTGAAGGCAGGGATTGGCAGGGCCTCCCGAACCGAGAGGCCAGGGAAGGCAAGGTTGGGGAAGTGCTCTGTTTGTCCTTAGCCGTGGGGAGGCGTAGGTCATCTCTGGGCAACAGTTTCACTGGTGAGGTAGGGCTGCAGGGGTTGAAAGCTGTCCCTCTTCCTAGTCTGTGAGCTACCTGCGGCAGTGGTGCTGTGCTGAGGCCCATGGGCTCATGAGAGAGGATTGTTGTCAAGAATTTTGTCAAATCATTGGTAGGCTGAGATCAACCGTGGTTGGATATCAATAAAAGCTGTAGATCAGGGCTGCGGTCCATGTCCCTTGCCCATGAGAGCTGGCTGACCAGCATGACACTGGCAAGGACTCTTTCTTTGTTGCACAGTGTTTAGAACTTGATAAGCTAATCAGTGTCTGATGAGTAGACATGAATGAATGAATGAATGAATGGGACAGTCTCAGAGTGCCTCTCTTTCATGCCCTTCTCCATCTCCCCTGGCTGTCCTCTAGCTTCCTTGTGGGCCAGGATGGCATCATCTATGAAGGAGTAGGCTGGAGTGTCCAAGGCTCCCACACCCCTGGCTACAATGACATTGCCCTGGGCCTCGCCTTTATGGGCACCTTCTCTGGTAAGTGGCTGCTTCGGGCAGTAATGGTCATTGTGTGGTATTTGAGGGAAAGCGTCTGACGTGAAAGACAGTGGTGTCAGACACAGGTATCATCTTAGTGGCTGTGTGTGCTGGATTTAAATGGCAACCCACTCCAGTGTTCTTGCCTGGAGAATCCCAGGGACGGAGGAGCCTGGTGGGCTGCCGTCTATGGGGTTGCACAGAGTCGGACACGGCTTAAGTGACTTAGCAGCAGCAGCGGCAGTGTTAGATTTACCCAGCTTCAGATTTAATGTTGAACTAAGTTCAGTGTGACAGGTGGCCTCTGAGACAGAATTCCACCCTAAAGTTACATCTTTCACACTCAAACAAATGCCTCTTTCTTCTGATATCCAAGACACATTAAACAAGGAAAGAAGATCTTTGTGTATGTTTCTGATAAGTTCTACCATGACATCCATGTGTGGACACTTGCCTTATTTGCCAAACACACAGACGAGCCCTGTCTCTGCATCCAGAGTGCACACTGAGAATTGCCATTGCTCAGAGATTTGACCAGAGTTTGTTTAAGCTCAGGGGCCTTTTGTGGAATCTCTGGGAGGAGAAGGCTATGTCACTGGGGGCTAATACTAAATTGGGCCTTGGATAGGGGAAGGTGTGAGCCAGGAATATGCCTGGAGATGTTGCTGGGCATGTGAAGGTGAAGAAAACACTACATGGCTAATGCAGGGTTGCTCAACCACAGCATTATCAACATTTCAGGTCAGATAATTCATTGGTGCTGAGGAATCTAAGGTCTTGACTTGGTTTTCTGTCTGTAAAGTGGAATATACCAGTTTGGTGGTAAAGGTGGGTTAGGGGGATCTAGGAGTGTGTCCTGCTCTGGAACAAGCTCAGGAATCCTATAACTGATGAGTCCGCTGTGTTTTGCAGGTTCCCCGCCCAATGCCGCAGCACTGGAGGCAGCCCAGAATCTGATCCAGTGTTCCGTGGTCAAGGGGCACCTGGTCCCCAACTACCTGCTGCTGGGGCAGAGTGATGTGACCAACGTTCAGTCTCCTGGGCGGGCTTTGTACAACATCATTAAGACTTGGCCTCATTTCAGACACTAGCAAGCCCCTTTTTCTCCCAAGACCATCCCCTTCCCCAACCCCACCTGCTGGTCCGCCTCTTCCTCTCCATTCTGATTCAATACCTGTATCCTCTCCTTGCCAGCCCCATCCTGTCCCTCCTGTCTCAGGTTAGTATGGTCATTTGCTGCCAGCATCTCCCAGAGTCCCTTAAACCCTGTAGTTGGATGCTCCCAGCCCTCTGAGTCTGGGCCCAGTCTTCCTCTTTCCTCACCTTCCTCTCCTGCCACCCATGTCTTCAGCCAGGTGAGCTTTCTTGTCCCCGGTACACACCCCTCTCCTGGTGTGCCTTCTCCTGCCGTCTGCCTGGCAGCCCCAGCCTCACACGTGACCCAGGTCAATGTCCCAGCCCCTCCTCTCTGTTCACACACTGCCTTGCCCTGATTTGATGCAGCCCTTATTTCAGGGCAGTGATTGTTTACAGACATTCTCTCCACTGGGTTGTGAGGTTGCCCAGTTTAATTCATGTCTGTGACGTCAGTTCTTCAACAGTGTCTAGAATTCAGAAGATGAGACAGATATTTATTGGAGAAATGGATGAATAAAGGGGGGTGGGCCAAGTCCCTGCTCCCCTTTCCAGTTTGCTGGACATACCCTCTTTGGGCAAGATTTGCTGGATCTTGGACAGCCCCCCATCCTGCCAGCATTCTCTCTGTTCCATTCTTTTCCAATCCGAGGCTCAGAACTGGCTCTGGTTGCTTGTTTCTAATGGCTGCTGTGTCTCTAGGGTCCCATGTCCCCATCTCCCACACCCCTGTGAGGACAGGACTGTGTACTGCTCCAGGCCCAGGCCCAGGCTGTCTCCACACAGGCCATCCAGCACCTCCCCACATAGGAGATGCTCATAGATAAAAAAAAATTATAAAACTAGCACCTCAGATCCAGCTAAAAGTATCAAGAAAATCATATAAGATAGGAAAGAAAAATTAACTAGAAGTGTAAAATAGGAGAAATCGGGTAATAGAACTCATGAGAGAGTAAGAAATATAGTAACCATTTCAGAAATGACCAGGTAAAAGGAGGAAGATAAAAAGTCAATGCACATAACATATAATACCTTAGAAGAAAACGAAGATCAAATGAAAGAAAAAATTAAAAATCCAAAAGAAATAAAAAACAAGAGTAAAACAACTAGAGGGAAAGTAGCCAATATAGTTGATAAGCAAAGGAGTTACAAGGTATGTATAACTGAAGTCCCTAAACAAGAAAACTAAAATAAGGAAATAGGACAAATACTAAAAACTGTAATTCTAGAAAACCTTCCTGAAAAAAAAGTTTTGAAAATTTCTTTTTACTTTGTATTTAAAAAAAATGACTCACAATGATGAATTACAGGGTATATTAAGCTAATGGGTTTTCAATAAAACATTTCCTTTGGGCATTCAGGATAAAAACCGAAAATGTGACAAATGAGAGAGAAAAATGTCATCAGACTTTTTGACAACATTTTCAGCTAAGAAAAAATGGAAGAATATATTTAAAATGTAAGGAAAAATGTGATAATGTGATCCAAGGGTTTTATATTCAATAAAATTGAGTTTCAAATACAAAGGTTACAAATAAGCTCTCATCAACATGTAAAAACTCTGGGAATATAGTCTCATGAACCCTTCCTTAGGAGCCTACAAGATAATGACCTCAAACAACCAAAATAAGACATTAACATAATGACCAGAGATGAATATTAATGTATGTGCATTTGTAAATTAAGACTAGATGAGGATTATCAAAGTGAGAGTATAGTATGTAATGGTTGTGAGTGCTAACAATGTAGCAGATTACAGAACGGAAAAAAATGTGGAGGGAATGAGAAGAGTGTCTGCAAATTAACTTTTAATCTATTTAGTAATAATATTGTTGGTGCTAATCTTTGTGTTATTTTTATATGAAAGTTTACTGTGAGATGTGGGATCAAACAAATGAGCTAATATATGATATTCTAATTCCATCATCCCCAGTGTTTTTGAAAGTCAGATTCTCAGGGTGGAAAAAGGAGATGCAGACTAACCTAGAAGAGGTTAAGTAACATACCAGAGCACTGGATTTGAATTGAAAATATAAGGATAAACTCACGAGGTGCTTATGAACTCATGAAGTGCTTCATCTTAACATTTTTAACCAGTGTTTGGTGAAGAGGTCTGGAAACTCTGATCAATCCAGTAGCAATAAGTTAGCATAAGATTGTGAGCTGAAATTACAATATCCCAATAAAAGAAATCAGAAGTTCTTGGAGAAAAAACTGATTTTGTGTCTGGGGATAGAAAATGTGCAAGATAAATGTGAAACATTTTCTCATATCAGATAACAATGAAGCCAAAAAACATTTTCTCAGTTTGGGTCAAAAGGTCTTGGGAGACTGCTGCCCAATGGGAGAATTCCAATGTCTACTATCTACCCTATGGGACAAGCTGAGCATCGAGAGCAACAGTAATTTCTATGGTTTGAGCTCATTAAATTTAAATTCATAAGTTCATAATGATACAAAATGCCTAACTGATCACCTTTGGAAAACTTGAATCCACTTATTTATTTGAAAACCTGTAAAAAGGGGAAAGAAAAAAGCACCTATTCTGCTCTTCCTATACAAAGAACATAAGTGAATAACCAAATGGTAGAGAAACTTCACCAAACTTCACCAAATGTTCACACGTCAAGTGTAAATTTCCTGGTGGTTGGTGAAAAGGCCCTTAAAGTCATGTCAGACACTAACCAGTTACTGAGCCACGTGCGTTTCATTTAGTATTTCCCTTATAACATGACATTTGTAAAGGATACTGTTGGGTGATTGTTACTTGCGATGGGAGGACAGAGGTTCTTGGAGAAATAATTGATTCCAAGTCTGGGATAGGAAATATACAAGATATATATGTGATCTATGAACAGTTCAGAGTATGCCTATCCCCACAGAAATGTTGGGGAAGCTCGGCTTAGATCTTAGTTACTGTGAGGCCAAATTTATACGTTCTCTTTTTACTTTCATATCAAATAATGATGATACTGAAATACCTTGGGCTAGGCTAGTTGAGAAGGGATGGGAACTTACATTGCAAGTAAGAACTTAGAACACTCTGGATATAATAAGATAAAGAATCAAATGTTCAAATATCTTTAGGGTGTTTAGAGTAAAGGTGAACCTCTTGTTTTCATATAGTACATGGTTGTTTCATCTGTAGGTGCTCTGGAGTGAGGAGAACTTGCCAGGGAATTGACATACGGATTCACCAAGTTCCTCCCTTCCTCAAGAGGAGAGATCCAGGCAGGAGAGATCCTTCCTTGAGAAAAGAAGAGGGCTGGAGGGAGGTGGTTTGTGCTCTAAGAGTCATGGAGCTGTGAACTTCAGGGTCTTCTCATATGCATTCACTCTTCCCCTCTACTTCTTGGGAAACATCTGTTCATCTTTTATGTCCCAATTCCAGCATCACTTTCTCATAAATGTGTTCAATGCCTTGCTCTTTTCCACACAGCACCATCATCATTAGAGATGTTGTGTTCATTTGATTGCTTTGCGCCTCTCTTTCCCACTAGGATGCAGACCTCATGGGGCAGACATGGTGTGTTTTTCTCCCTGGAATATCCCCAGGTCCTAATATGGTGTCAGGAGCACTGGGTCACCCTGGTAGCTCAATATTTGTTTCACAAATCAATGCATAAATGTTCTCGATTTCTGGATTGTGAGAAGGATCTCATATTCCAGTTACTGCAGATTGAATTTTGCTATAGATTGGCTTTTCTAGTAGTCTGTATGGATATGAGAGCTGGACTCTAAGGAAGGCTGAAAGCCAAAGAATTGGCGCTTTTGAACTGTGGTGTTGGAGAAGACTCTTGAGAGTCTCTTGGACTGCAAGGAGATCCAACCAGTCAATCCTAAAGGAAATCAGTCCTGAATATTCATTGGAAGGACTGATGCTGAAGCTGAAACTCCAATACTTTGGCCACCTGATGTGAAGAACTGACTCATTGAAAAAGACCCTGATGCTGGGAAAGATTGAAGGTGGGAGGAGAAGGGGATGACAGAGGATAAGATGGTTGTATGGCATCACTGACTCAATGGATGTGAGTTTGAGCAAGCTCCAGGAGATGGTGAAGGACAGGGAAGCCTGGAGTGCTGCAGTCCATGGGGTCACAAGGAGTCAGACATGACTGAGCAATTGAACAACAAAATAGATTGAATTGTGTCTCCCTGAAAATTCATGTGTTGAAGCTTTAACCTCCAAGGTGATGGTATTTGGAGACTGGACCTTTGGAAGGTAATCAGAGCTAGATGAGATCATGGGGGTGGGGCCCTCATGAAGAGATTAGGGTCCTTATAAGAAAAGATATCAGAGAGCTTTCTCTCTCTCTCTCTCTCTTTCCCCTCACTCGGTCAGGACACAGTGAGAAGACCCCAGGGCCTGAGAGGGTTCTCTTGTCTAACAGTTGGAAATGAACTGTCCGAAGAGACACATGCACTGACAAAGCAAAAGACTCTATTGGGAAGGGGTGCCTGGGCAGAGAGTGGGAGGGGAAGGGAAGCCAGGAGGACCCTCTGCCGTGTGGCTCACAGTCTCGGGTTTTATGATGATGCGATTAGTTTCCAGGTTGTCTCTGGCCAATTATTCTGACTCAGGGTCCTTCCTGGTGGCTCACACATTGCTCAGCCAAGATGGATTCTAGCAAGTAGGATTCTGGGAGGTTGGTAGGACATGTGGTGTCTCCTTTTGACCTTTCCCAAATTCTTCTGGTTGGTGAGGACTTGTTAGTTCTGTGTTTCTTACCAGGACCTCCTGTTATAAAATAACTCATGCAAATGGGTTCCTATGATGGCTGGCTAGGGTGGGTGGTTTCAACCAGTTTTTCCCCTAACAGCTCCAAGCCAGGAAGACAGTCCTTACCCGAAACTGACCATGCTGGGGCCTTGATTGTGGACTCTAGCCTCCAGAATTGTGAGAAAATAAATTTCTGTCTAAGTCATTCAGTCTAGGGTATTTTATGGCACCCCGAATTAAGACTCCTATATACCTCAATATTTTATTTTAAATCTCTAGGTTTTAAAGTAGTAGTGTCTATCTTAATTGAAATGCAAAACTAAACATAATATGCAAGCCCAATAAAGCATGTCTCCAAGCAGTCAGGTGCAGCTTCTGCTTTGTAGGGTGGTTGTTGGCGTGCTGGCCTAGCCTCCCACTTCTGACTTTGAGCTCCTTGAGGGTGGGGACCCTGTCTTCTTCCTCTCTGGATTCCACACCTCTAGCCAGTGTGAGGCATAGCCAGTTGGCAGGGCTTCCTGGAGGCTGGGCTGAGGAAGCAGCTGGCGAGCCTTGGGCAGCCGCACCCTTTCCCAGGGAGGAGGCACCTGGGGTTATTCACAGGGCGGGTCCCTGCTGTCAGCACCTGTCTGGTCTCACTGATTCCCTCTTGGTGCTGTGGACTGTGGACTGCGCAGAGCCTGGCCCTCNGCCCCACCCTTTCCCAGGGAGGAGGCACCTGGGATTATTCACAGGGCGGGTCCCTGCTGTCAGCACCTGTCTGGTCTCACTGATTCCCTCTTGGTGCTGTGGACTGTGGACTGCGCAGAGCCTGGCCCTCCTCTTCCTCCCCCTCTCGTCCTTTTGTTAGGGCTCCTGGCCTTTCTCTTCTCTCTGGAGAGCCAGGGCCCAGTCTCAGTTCCCGGGGAGAGAGTGCCCTCTAGTGCCTGGGAGGGTGAAGGCTGAGGAGGAGGGCAGGGCCAGAGGCCAAGCCTGAAAGGAGGCCCTGCCAGCCAATGAGGGGTGAGCCGGCTGCAGCTTGACCTGTGGAGCTGGGAGAGCAAGGGACCCACAGGTATTTCTAAGTGTGTGTGTGCACGCGTGTCTTCTTGAGAAACCCCTCTATTATTGGAAGGATTGGACTCTATCAGGTTACAAAGTTAACATGGTGGAGAAAGTTCCCCTGATCTCCACTCTTGAATTCTTCCTCCAAATAAGAAAACTCTCTACTTAAATTGTTCTAAATGGGTTTGGTTCCACCATGCCTGGAACTTTCTTGCCAAGGCTGTGGGTCCTGGGATCACCTCTACCCAGTTTCTTTCCTTTCTGACTAGCCTGGAATCTTTGTCTATTATATCTCATTTGTCTCCTGTTCTAATATTTCATCTTCATTTTAAGTACAGAGAATACATAGCAATATGAGCCATGGTGGGCGAATTGTGGCTGCAGCCTGTCCTGCTGGCTAAGTGTCTGCAGTTAGAGGTAGGGGTGGGAGACATCAGAAATTCCTGCCTTGACATGATCAGGGGTTGGGCTCAAGCTTTTCTACTTCGGCTGTGTAATGTGACAAGCTCAGGACAGCATTTGCTACTTTATCATTCTTGGTTGTGGAAGCACTATGATCAAGTGACCAGAGTCTAGACCTTCTGTTGACCAGAACTGATTGCTGGTTTCTAGGTAGTTTTGCAAGACGCCAGCTTCTTTTCTGGGAGACCAGCCTACGGGGCTTCCATTTTGGGCAAGTGAATCCTTGCCTCTTGTTTGACCGAAGAGGGAAGCTCAACACTTTTCCACATTAGGTGACTCCCTTCCTTTGTGGAGGACTCATTTGTCATCAGGACACAGTTTTCTTGAATCAATGGATTCCTGGGTGTTAATGGCCGAGAGGTTGCTTGTACTGATCCAGGAAGCTCTTGTATGCTCATTTTAAACTGGGGTTCTAAACATTTTCCATCCGAGAACTACTGATGATAACATAAAATCTCTTGAGGGCAGTCATCTACCCCATTTGATCTCAAACCTCCCTCTACAGTTTCTTAGTAGGATAATTGGGAGAACAGTTGATGTTTTGGTTGACATCTCAGGGAGTCGATATTTCATTTGGATTGAGTTGAAGTAAGCAGTTCATTTCTGCCTGACACAGCAGAAAATATTTATGCAATGGAAAGGACATAATAATCCTGGAGGTTAACCTCTTGGGCCCTTGTTGTGAATCTTCATCATCAGAAACTCAAGTAGATTGTGGAGAAGTTCCAGGCAGAGGCTTTCAAGTCAGACAGATCTGCCCTTTCTAACTGGGTAACTTTGGGTTAGTGACTTAACCTCTCTGAAGTTCAGTTTCCTGATGATAAGTACAGGTCTCATAGGTCATTGTAAAGATACTTAATTAATAACTGTGAAGTCCTCCTGGAGAAGGAAACAGAAACCCACTCCATATTCCTGCCTGGAAAATCCAGTGGACAGAGGAGCCTGGTAGGCTGTACAGTCCATGGGGTCATGAGATGGACATGAATTAGTGATTAAACTACCACCACTACCTCAGCAAATACTTGCAATATAGGATGTGATCAGTGATTGGTAAATAATTCTATTAGTACCATTCTCACTTGAGAAGAAGTTAGGTGAGCATCTGTCAGGAATCTTTGCGAATGACGCCCGCCCCTAAGAGAACTTGAATATAATTTGTGTCCTACTGTTGTGTGAAAATTGTATAAATTTCAATTATGTTCAATTGATTCACAGTGCTTTTCAGGTCTACTGTAGCCTTCTATGTCTCTGTATATTCATTCTGTTAATTTTTGAGAGTTTGATATTGAAACTCCAACTAAAAGTCTTAATTTATTTACCTAAAAAATAGTTTAAAAAAGTAATTTTATCTATAGTGGAACTATATGTAACCTTGTTCTGTATTTTCCAAGCCTCCTGTAAATCTGTTATCATACTTTCATAATTAAAAAAATAAAAATAAAAAAATAGGATTACGAATATCTTATGGGGATTTTATAAGAATTAAATACAAAATAGCACCACTAAGATGTAAAAACATCCACACAGAGTTTATTCAAATAGTTACTCAAGAATTTTAGAAATTATCTGTGCTGGAAATCTGTAGATGAGGCACCGGGCTCCTAGGAGGGACCATGAACTCTCAGGGTCATAGTAGGCTGGTGGCTAGACAGAGGTGTTAGCTCACCTTTATTGAGCATCTGCTAAGGGTCAACCTTGTCTTGAGGACCTTGAGAAGCCTCACTGGGTGCTGGCCCTCAGGAGGTTCACAGTTTGGCAAGGAGGCAGACAGGGGCCATGCAATTGGTAGGTGCTCTGTTTGAAGGGTGAGGATGATTGGTCTAACTATCCGTGTCTCCCCCAGGGCTGTGATCCATACTCTCCCTGTTGGTGACCTAAGACCACACGAGGATGCTGCTATGGTTTCTTGTCTTGTCTGCTTTGGATCTCGCGGCCTGGGGTGAGTTTTCTTTTACTAGGTCACAAGTGCTTTTGGCATCAGCCCCAGCCTGGTTTTGTTTGTAAATTATCCTTTCCGGGATCCTCATCCCTCCCCATCAGCTATGTTCCCTATCGGCAGAGTCCAGCTCAGGTGCCCTGTCCCCAGCTGAGACGGGCTCCAGTCCTCAGCAGCCTCTCCAGCCTGCCCGTACAGTTTGGTGTCAATGTCGTGGTCAGGCATTTGCTCCTGATGACTTCACAGAAGGACAGAACCTCAGAACCATGATGGAGACCCTTAACAACTTAGTCTTGTAGACAGAGAAACAGGCCCCATTGTGGCAGTGACTTGCTCTAGGTCATCTGACAATTTGGGGGCGGATGCAGAGTCTAGTGGTTATGAACATGGGGCTGGGGTCAGACAGCCTGGCTTGGAATCCAAGTCCACAGCCTAAAACCCATATCATTTTAGACAAATAACCTCTCCGAACCTCAGTTTCTCATTTGTACAGAGGGAGTAGTTAATTTGCTTTGTTTATTTCACAAAGTTGTTTTAAGCCACAAATGTGGTAGTGCCCTTGAAAATGCTTTGTTAACTACAGAGCTGGTCTGTGGGTGACATTGTTGTTCCAGTGACATTGCCCCCATGACCTCTGGTACTGAACAGATAGAGGGGAATGAGGCATATTTGTGATGATTTTGTGTCTGTGTGCTCAGTCGCATCAGTTGTGCTCTGACTCTTTGCTGCTCCATGGACTGTAGGCTGCCAGGCTCCTCTGTCCATGGGATTCTCCAGGCAAGAACACTGGAGGGGGTTGTCATGCCCTGCTCCAGGGATCTTCTGGACCCAGGGATCGAACCTGAGGCTCCTGCATTGCAGGAGAATTCTTTACTCACTGAGCCATCTGGGAAGCCCATTTGTGGTGATTAATTCTCCATTAATCCTATCTTTAAAAAAAAATCAAGTTGGTAGGGCAGTCACAATGATCTGTAAATTTCTGTATTTCAAGAACCTTGCCTGGGTCACTAGGTGCTTAACGTATGAATACATGTTAACATGATGACCATCTTGGTATGTGACCCTTTGATCTATTAATACATATACAGGTGAACTGGGAATGAGCTGCCCAGCTGAGGAGACAAGAGAGACTGCATCGAACCTGAAATGAAGGGAGGCTTGGGGAGGCTGGGGAGGGTGGGAGGGGCAAAGGCCTCACTGGGGCAGATGTGAGAGGGAGAGGCAGGGTGAGGCCAGGTGCATCTGTGGTTTTCCTCTTTCTTGTTTCCTAGAGGAAGTCAGGTGGGTCAGGTGGGAAGTTATCTGGGGAGACCCAGAGGCTGGGGCTGTGGGGTCACAGGAGGAACATGGAACCCGTGCCTCTGAGCTGGTCCAGGTATTTTCCAAGGACCAGCAGCAGGTGCAGTGTTCCTTTGCAGGGGATTCCCTGGAGTTGTCCTGGAATGAGACCCAAGCCAGGGGGCTGTTACAGGAGCTTCTGGACCTGTTTGTTGGCATCTCACAGCTCATTCACACAGGTCGCAATGGTGAGGCAATTAGTGGGGGTGCTGCCTGGGGCTTTTTAGGGAGACAGAAGTGTTTCTTAGAACACCACTATGGCTAGGCGGGGTGGAGGGTGTAGGGTAGAACCACAGCTCCTCCCATGGATTGTCCTGAGTCCTTAGGCAAAGGTGGGTTCCAGAAGGGAGAGGAAACCCGGGGAAAAAAGACAAGGATCCCAGTCTCTGGCTCTCAGGGTAGAGATACCGCTTCACTCAGGCAGTTCCCGGGAGCTCCCAAGTAAGGATAATGAGGGAGCCCTCGGGGGTCCTGGGGTCCTGGGTGGGGCTCTCACAGCCTTGCCCACAGTGCATGTTCATCTGAAAGAGGGAATCCCCCACCCCAGTGTTCGTGGGGCTTCCTGTGGGCTCTGGCTGGGGAGCTGCTGGTTTCAGGAGAGTGACAGAACTTTCCTGAGGAGCCTGGTGGTCTACAGTCCATGGGGTCGCAAAGAGTTGGACAGGACTGAGTAACTAACACTTTTACTTTCACTTTCAAACAAGAGATGGAGAAGGGAAGGGGAGGCTGTGGTGGTGCCGGCCTCCTTCTGGGGCCTCTCCCATCACAGAGGATTCAGGATGGCCTGGACAGCCTATGGAGGGCTGGCAGGGCCTCAGCATACCAGCCTATTTCCTCTCTCCCCTCCCCCTAGGTGTGCCCACCATTGTCTCCCGCAAGGAGTGGGGAGCGAGATCCCTAACCTGCCGGGCCCAGCTGACCCGGCCTGTGGCCTATGTCATCACGGACCAGATCACGGGGATGGAATGCGAGGAGCAGAATGCGTGCAGTCAAAAGCTGAGGGGCCTGCAGTCCCGTTCCGTCTACACCAAAGGCTGGTGTGATGTGGCCTACAAGTAAGAGGCTGGTGGGGTCCCTGGAGCCCATGTTTGAGTTCTCCTTTTGAGGGAGTCTCCTGTTCCCCCTTCTCTGTGTTTCTTAATCTCCCATTCATGTTGCTTTTCTAATGAATAAAAAATGCTAATATAAACAGAATCCAAAGGGGTCATGAGGAGGACCACTGTGAGCCACATATTCATATGTGGTCTTGGCCGCTACAGGTTCCAGGAAAGAAGCGAGGGAAGTTGTGTGATAAGTACAGTCTCCCCCTTGAAGCTCGAAGAACATTTCAATTTACGAAGGTCTTTACAATTATTACTCAAGTAGGCCCTCCCTGCCACCCTGAGGAATGGGCAGGAGAAATATTACCACCCCTGTGTCACAGGTGAGGATGCTGTGTTCTGGAGAAGTTAGAGAATTTGCTGAAAGTCACTCAGAGAAGGAGTGTGAACTCAGAACTCTTCCCAGGCTGCCTACTAGTCCTGCCTTGCTCCACTTCTGCTCACAGACAGGGCTTTCTCCACCAGGTACCTTGAAGGGCCACCTCACAGTGAGACTGGGATCCCATAGGAGACGTACCACTGGGGATGCGGGGAGGAGGACCTGTGAATGTGTGAGGCAAGGAGAGGCTCGTGTTGTGCACTGAGTTCGCTCTCTGAGGATCATCAGCGGAGTGGATGCCCAGAGCCTCCTCTTTCCCCCTTTTTCTTTATAGAAGAAGAGAGAGAGGGCATGGTGCTCTCCTGCCTGAATTCTAAGGACAAGTATAAATGCTTTCTGAATTATCCACTTTGCGAAGGGCAACCCACATCTTATGCTTGATTTATTGAGATTGCAAATAAGTAAGGGCAGCTGGAAGCCCCCACTGGAGTCACCGGAGCCCCAGAGGGCCAGGGTTGGGGGTCTTCCCGTCTGCCCTCTGTGGGGGCCACGTTCCCTACAGCTTAGCCGCTGAGCCTACCGTGAGTGCCCCGTCACCCTGCCGTTGTCACTGCTGGGCTGCCTGCTTCAGCCACGGCGTCTTGCAGTCAGGTTTCTGGGGTGACAGGGTAACAGTCTCTAGTTTGTACGAGGCAGTTGCTATAGCCACAGGGACTATTCACTTTGGACTGACCAAAGGCTGCAGGGACAGAGTACCTCAGTACCTGAAAGTACTGTGGCAAAGCCAGGGACACGGTGGACACATGAGGCCCCCACCTGGTCCTCAGGCCGATGTCACTGCAGGGTAGGAGTTCTGTTCCCCTTCATTCCGGGTCTTTGGCGACTTTGGGGAAATGTTCTTTCTGTGCTCAGTTTGCTGTGGAAATTCATGACCTGTTAAAAGCTGAATGTGTAAGAGTTGTGAAAATAAAGTTTTTAAGACTATAACTGGAATGTGGAAGATGAGAAAGTTATAAAGAGAAGAGGAGGTAGAAGGGGAAAAAAAATACTTTGGCTTCAAAAACTAAACTGGGAAAAGGAACATCCTAACCAAATTTCTGTGATAAAAAAGAGCTTAGGGATTCCTAAGGAGAAACTGAAGAAAATGTTAACTTAAAGGAATCCCTAAATTCTGATCAACTGTTTTCAACATACAAGTGCTTGGTCCTATAATTTAAAAACATGACCAATGGATTCTCATGCCCTTGAACTAAAGTTCTCAGGTTCTTGAGAGTCACACATTGGAATTCTACTTTGAACCAAATGAGTATTTTTAAATTGAGATTCTGGGAAACACAGGTAAACTAAGTCACAAGAAAATTAAAGACATATTCCTGTATCTCTTGGAAGTCTAAAATGCGTTATCCCACTCCCTTTCACTGTTATGTCATTGTAACATATGAGCCTCTAGAACTTTTTGCATTCTGGGATGGGTGAGAAGTTTTCTGTTACAGAAATTTGCATTTAATCATGTTTCCTTGCCTGACAGCTTCCTGGTTGGGAATGATGGCAGGGTGTATGAAGGTGTTGGCTGGAACATCCAAGGCATGCACAACCAGGGCTATAACAACATCTCCCTGGGCCTCGCATTCTTTGGGAATAATCTAGGTAATGGTCACCCCTCTGACCCTCTACCAAGGAGTTGTCTACACTGTCTTCCGTCACTCACTCTTGTCTTTTCAGCCTACATCATGTTGTTCTTTCTGATGATGGTGTCTCTCTTGAAGTTCTTTTCTCCCTTGGATTCTATGATGGGGCATTTTTGGAGTTCTCTTTTTCCTCTCTGGTCTGTACTCCTGTGAGACTGCTGAAGAGAACACTGATACTGCTTGAGTTCACAGTTATTGCCATCACTTTGAGAGTCTGAAAAAAGCGAAAGTTGCTCAGTCGTGTCCGACTCTGTCTCCAGGCCAGAATACTGGAGTGGGTAGTCTCTCCTTTCTCCAGGGAATCTTCCTGACCCAGGAATTGAGCCAGGGTCTCCTGCATTGCAGGCAGATTCTTTACCAACTGAGCTATCAGGGAAGTTCTGAAGTTGATAATTAGGAACTGGCAGATGCAGAAAAATATGGCTTCTGTCTTCCTCTAGTGTCTCCCATTGGTAGAGCCCAACCAGTGGCCAGCAAGCAAGGAAGTCTGGGAACTGTAGTCTGCAGGTTTCTAGTCTTCAGCAAAGCACCGGAGAGCACAGAGTAGGCCATGGCTGATTCATGTCAATGTATGGTAAAAATCACTACAATATTGTAAAGTAGTTAGCCTTCAATTAAAACTAATAAATTAAAAAAACAAGCCAACAACAAATAACTGGCACCTGCCAGGATCATCATCTTCCAAGTGGTGCTAGTAATAGCATTTATCTCAGAGGTTTTCTGTGAGGATTACGTGAGTTAATGGATGTGAAGAGCACTTGGCCTCCTGTCTGATTGTGGAAGCTATTAAATAAATACAGTCATCTTTTCTGCCAAGCTAGGGCATTCCTGACTTGGTCAGGTGGGCCTCCTACAGGTAGCTTTCACTGTCTCCGAGTGACTCCACATAGTGATGGAGTGGATAAAGCACTTGGAAGAAGTCACCAACTTGGTTTCTAAGAGCTGTGTGTAAGTACTTCTTTGTCTCTTAGCCTCTCTGTCCTGGCTACTGGGCCAGTTTTTTCTCTTCTCATCCATCAGTTATTTAGGCTCAAGGGGTCAACTTATCCTCCCTCTACATCTAGACCAGGTTGGAACTTTTTGCTAACAGTTCTGTGCTCCATGTCATCCTCTCTCAGGCAGCAGTCCAAGTCCCACTGCCTTATCAGCCGCAGAGGACCTGATCTTCTATGCCATAAAGAAGGGTCACCTATCACCCAGGTATATTCAACCACTTCTCTTGAAAGCAGAGAGCTGCCTGGTCCCTCATCAGCCACTGATGCCCAGGAAAGGTAAAGCCTCTCTGTCCTGCCTCATCTTCCTCCCAGTTACTATCCAGGAACAGTAGGGAATGCTTTTTCTTATTGGTATTCATTGGTTTCTCAGACCAAGAACATCTCTTGCTGAGATCTGGAAAATTCTAAGAGGGCACCTTCCTGGCCTCTCCTTTCCACTGGAACCATATAGCCATGGAACCATTCTTGACATAAATATATATGTACACATGTCTTCACTCAGCGAATATTTACTGAATTCTTCTAGGTACTGAGGGTGCAGCTGTGAACAAAACAGATAAAACTGCACATTTAAGTAGAGGAAGATAGAAAATGAATCAATAAGTAAAATGTATATGAGGTTAGATGACATCAGGGTTACGGAGAAGAATAAAGCATGGAAATGGGGTGGGGTAAAAAAAAATATATATATATTTGTGTATATTACATGAATACACATACACACACAATCTCTGTCTCATACTCTCTCTCTCTCTCACACACACACCTCCTTCTAAAAGCAAAACAAGTCAACCTTCAACATGACCACAGCACACTGAGAAAAACTTGGGTTCACAGATTACACTGACATGAGTTTGAACAGTCCAAGAAGTTGGATAATAAAAATCATGCACTATTTTGGAAAGACAAGCAACAACCTAAAACCAGTATGATTATAAGTGCTTTCAATAGTTTAACACTCTCTGCTATAGTGGATCTTGCCAGGGACTCAAGAATGTTTTCTTATTAAGCTTTTTAAGTTGCAAATCTTTAAAATTTATCTAGCTTTCAGACTGGTGTTGTCTCCATTAATAACACTTTTACGTGTGTAGAATTCTTTAGAGATTTCAAATTACCATATGCATGTGCTCAGTTCAGAAAGTCAGCTGATTTCTGCTCATTGGTCTTATTATGTAAGTACACACATCTGCTTTTATTTGCAATGCATATTCAAGCATGTAGGTATCAGTAGTCTTTTCCCTTCTCACATACTGATTTCCATAGTTGTTATCAGAACTTGACTTTTGCCTCTGCCCCTTGGCTCCAGCTGCCTGACCGAGACAATCCCTATCTAGACTTTGCCAGAATCCCACAGAATCCCGCACATTAGGATGTGTTAGTGGTTACCAGGGGTTGGGGAGTCTGAGGAGTAATCAGCCTGCAGTTGTGAGAATGTCCACATCTGGGCACATGCGATTTTGCATCGCATTGTTTTTTTCCCCCTCCACAGCTTGCCCCAACATCATCACAAGGTCAGCTTGGGAAGCCAGACAGACACACTGCCCTACAATGAGTCTCCCAGCCAAATATGTTATCATCATTCACACTGCTGGGGCAACCTGCAACATATCCATGGACTGCCGGATCCGTGTCCGAGATATACAATCTTATCACATGGACACACAGAACTTCTGTGACATCGGATATCAGTAAGTGGGACTGGTGCAAACTTGGTGCTTCTTTTCTTCAGGGCTATAAGAAGGAAGGCTCGGGGAGGGAGCCAGTGTTTGCCAAGCTCTTCCTTTGTGCCAGGTGCTTTACATAAGACATCATCTTTTTATTTGTGCAGGATTCTGGACTGAGCATTCTTCAGAGCCTAGCTAAGGTTTAGTTATCTCCCCTGGGCATGTTCTCCATGAGTGGTTGGGAAGACTCTGAAAGGAAGATGTTAAAACAATAGTGATAAATCAAGAGTGTGAGACCCTTATGGGAGGCTGTCAACAGACCATGCCTTTTAAATGTGATCCCTTCCAACCAGCCAGCAGCCCAGACCCTACTCACCCCCTGCTGCCCTTGAGCCCAACCCCAAACTTGCTCTCTCTGATGTTAGAATCCTGCAATACCTCTGCTATTGCTTACTCCGTTTATAGACACAGGAAACTTTAACTTCTCTGGACTTCTTTTGCCTCCTCTCTGCAGTAGGGGAACAATACCTTATCTATTTGATAATACCAAGTGAACTAGAACAGTGGGAAGCTTCTTAGGCATTCCCTTGGAATTTTCATAGAAGAAATTTAGGGTTAGAGTATGATAACTTTTAATTATTAGTACTAATTTTAATTTTATTGGCATCTAGTTGATTTACAATGTTGTGTTAGCTTCAGGTATACAGCAAAGTGATTCAGTGACAACCTATAAAAGAATAAATTAAGAAATAATTTATTTATTTATTTCCTGGCTGGTCTGGGTCTTCATTGCTGTGCAGGTGTTCTCTAGTTGTGGGGAGCAGGGGGTGCCTATTCTCTAGTTGCGATGCAGGCTTCTCTTTGTGGTGGCTTCGCTTGTTGCGGAGCACGGGCTCTAGAGCACAGGCTCATGGTTATGGCTCATGGGCTTATTTGCTCCACAGCGTGTGAGATCTTCCCGAATCAGGGTCAAACCTGTGTCTCCTGCATTGGCAGGTGGATTCTTTGCCACTGAGCTGCAGGGAAGCTGTGACTTAATCACAACAATTGTTTGAAGTCTCAGGTGGCTTTTCTTTTGTGTATGTCCTGGTGGCTCAGCTGGTAAAGAACCCTCCTGCAATGAAGGAGACTAAAACTAAGATCATGGCATCCGGTCCCATCACTTTACGGCAGATAGGTGGGGAAACAGTGGAAATAGTGGCTGACTTTATTTTTCTGGGCTCCAAAATCACTGCATATGGTGACTGCAGTCATGAAATTAAAAGATGCTTACTTCTTGGAAGGAAAGTTATGACCAACCTAGACAGCATACTAAAAAGCAGAGACATCACTTTGCCAACAAAGGTCTGTCTAGTCAAGGCTTTGGTTTTTCCAGTGGTCATGTATGGATGTGAGAGTTGGACTGTGGAGAAAGCTGAGCTCTGATGAATTGATGCTTTAGAACTGTGGTGTTGGAGAAGACTCTTCAAAGTCCCTTGGACTGCAAGGAGATCCAACCAGTCCATCCTAAAGGAGATCAGTCCTGGGTGTTCATTGGAAGGACTGATGCTGAAGCTGAAGCTCCAGTGCTTTGGATACCTGATGCGAAGAGCTGACTCGTTGGAAAGGACCCTGATGCTGGGAAAGATTGAGGGCAGGAGGAGAAGGGGATGACAGAGGATGAGATGGCTGGATGGCATCATCGACTCGATGGACATGGGTTTGGGTGGACTCTAGGAGTTGGTGATGGGCAGGGAGGCCTGGTGTGCTGCAGTTCATGGGGTCACAAAGAATCGGACATGACTGAGCGACTGAACTGAACTGAACTGAACTGGCTTCGATCCCTGGGTTGGGAAGATCCCCTGGAGGAGGGCATGGCAACCCACTCCAATATTCTTGCCTGAGAATCCCCCATGGACAGAGGAGCCTGGCAGGCTATTGTCCTTGGGGTTGCAAAGAGTTGGACATGACTGAGTGACTAAGAACATGTCTCATTCTGGGCCGGCTCCCTTTCTCCTCTGAACTGCCATTTTAAAAACAGCCTTTGTAAATAGGAGAAAACTATGGCTGCATTTTACAGGATTTTCCACAGCCTTGCTATGGTTATTAAGCTTAGTTAATAAAGAATTAAATGTGGAAATTCCAAATGGAAAATGCCAGGACCTGAGGGAATGTTCGTTTCCTTTCACATTCATTCTTTGGGGACTGGCTTGATTTCTGTCCTTTGACTTTGGAGGCCTGTTATGGTGCTCACTCCCACTGCAGCCTCAGGATACAGCATCTGTCACTCTGTCACCAACTGTGCTCGGTATGGACAAAGGGCCCTCTCATTCATCATTTCTTACTTTTACACCAATATTTATTGGGGTATCCCTGGTGGCTCAGCAGTAAAGAACCCACCTGCAATGAAGGAGATGCAGGTGCAACCCCTGGAGAAGGAAATGGCAGCCCACTCCAGTATTCCTGCCTGAAAAAAACCATGGATACAGGAGACTGGTGGGTCACAGTCCATGGGTTTGCAAAGAGTCAGACACAATGGAAGCAACTGAGCACGCATGCGTCCTACGTGCTTGGTGTTCAGCAAGATGAATTAGCTCCTTCCCTTGGGGAGGAGAGAGGATAGTAAACAGTCATGACGATTGTGAGTGTTGGCACTGGGATGGATGAGTAACAGAATGTGCCAGGGTGGACCTCTAACAAGACTTTGGAGGACTGCACGGTATCACAGCAGGGCTTCAGCAGGGAGAGGCATCCACACTGGGACATGGATACGGAGTGGAGGTCAGTCAGGCAAAGAAGGATGTGGAGTGTTCCAGGCAAGAGGGAGCAGCACATGCAAGGGCCTGGAGTCCAGACAGAGCACAAATGAAAGAAGCTTGCGTGCTAAGTTGCTCCAGTCACGTCCGACTCTTTGCAGCTCTATGGACTGTAGCCCACCAGGCTCCTCTGTCCCTGGGATTCTCCAGGCAAGAATCCTGGAGTGGGTTGCCATGGCCTCCTCCAGGGGATCTTCCTGATCCAGGGATCAAACCCATGTCTCATATCTCTTGCATTGACGGGCGTGTTCTTTACCATTGGCACCACCTGGGATGCCCACAAAGAAGCTTAACTCCTACCTAAAATAGACTACAAAGAGGGGGATGGTGAGAGGGAAGGCTGAAGAGGCTGACAGGAGCCATAGCACAGGGGTCTGGACATGGGTCCTGACAGGCTGACTCTATTTGAAAGGCAACTGGAAATCCCTGCCCTATGAAGGGATCTGTATTTAGCAAAACCACTCTGGGGGCTGTTTTAAGCATGGATTGGAAGGCGGTAAAACTCTGGGCAGACAGCTTTTACAGTAATTCAGACAGTAGGTGATGGTGACCTGGAGCAACATAGCAACTGTCGGCATACAGGTAAGTGGAGAAATGTAAAACAGGAGAAATGGTTGACAAGCCATGAATGTTGATTGGATGGGGCTGGAAGAGGGAGAGTGAAGCATTCAGTCTGATGCCCAATTTTCTGGCTAAGGAAATTGTGGAAGAAGATGGGTTTGTTTGGACATGTTGGCTTTTAGAGCTTGTGATTGAGCTATGGCTTCCCATCTGGCTCAGTGGTAAAGAATCTGCCAGCCAAGCAGGAGACATAGGGATGCGGGTTCAGTTCCTGAGTTGGGAAGATCCCCTGGAGAAGGAAACAGAACCTACTCCAGTATTCTTGGCTGGCAAATCCCATGGACAGAGGAGCCTGGGTGAATACAGTCCATGGGCGGATATGAGTCAAAAGCGGGCAAAAGTGTTGAACATGACTTAAGTGACTAAAAAACAACAATTGGAGTTATAAGACTGGATGGTTGTCCAGGGAGAATATATTGAGTGAGAAGAGGGAAGGGGTGAGACCAGAACCCCAGGGAGGAGAACCAGGGAAAAGAACATGTCAAGAAATTAGTGGCCAATAGGATCAGAATAAAAATCAGTTTTCATTACTAGTGTCAGCATGTGGCAGTGGACTGATGTTGCTGTCATCATTGCTTGTCACTGTCTGTCTTCATTTCTTAGGTTCAGGGACTGTTTTTTTTTGCCTTTTTGTGTCTGTTCACATTAACACATATGGTAAGAGTAATAGTAATGGTAATAATAATAATAATAGTAAGTGGATGAAAGGATGAATTAATGATTCAAGGAGTGAATGAAGCCAGTTGTACCCAGAGTAATTTTCTCCTTTTCCCTTTGCCTAACCTTAGCTTCCTGGTGGGCCAGGATGGTGGTGTGTATGAAGGAGTTGGCTGGCATACCCAAGGCTCTCACACATACGGATACAACGATATTGGCCTAGGAATTGCCTTCATAGGCAACTTTGTAGGTAAGGGGTAAACATGGGGCAGAGGGACTCTGGATGATGAAGTATTATGTGAAATATCTGGGAAGCAATGGGGATAAGATGCACTGTGGTGCTTGACAGTGTCAGTGGGATGCTTAAAGCAAGAGGCAGGTCCCCAAGAGTCCCTCTCAGGCAGAACATTTCCTCCAAATTCACCTGTACCAATACCCAGTTCTATCTGTCTTTAGAGCCATGCCCAACGCAAGCATGGAGCAGGAGAGAAAAAAGTCTTTTGCAAACTTTGGTGTTTTCATAGCACTGTTGGCAAATGTAGCGTCTTCCTTGGTAACCATGGCAACCGCGCTGGGGAGCTTCACTATCTCTTATGGACAAGCAATGAATGGTCTGGTGCTGCCATGTCTGCCCCGTGGTGACTGTTGAGAAGTGGTGTGTTGAGCTGCAGTTATTTTTCAGAGAGGCTTTGAACTTTCTAGAAGGCAGAATCAGGGAGCACAAAGACCTTGTTTTCCCAAGAAACTTACAGGAATTTGTTGGCTATGGTGGTGATGGGGACAGAGGGAGCCTGGGCTAGGTGCTTGTCCCTGCCCAAAGCAAGTAACCTTGAGACCCTAGTTATTGCTGGGCTAAATGTGTTTTGCAGAAAAACCACCAAATGCTGCAGCGCTGGAGGCAGCTCAGAACCTGATCCAGTGTTCCGTGGTCAAGGGACATCTGGTCTCCAACTACCTGCTGGTGGGGCACAGTGATGTGACCAACATTCTGTCTCCTGGACGGGCTTTGTACAACATCATTAAGACTTGGCCTCATTTCAGACAATAAGGGAACCCCAATTTCTTCCAATACCACCTGCACCCTAACCCTGGCTCCTGAGTCTCCCCTTCTTCACCTTCCATTCTGGCTCAACACCTGTGTCCCCTCCCTGCCAGCCCCATCCTGTTTCTTCGGCTTCAGGTTAGTATGATCATTTCCTAACTAGTATGATCAGTTCCATATGATCAAACCCCATAGTGGGGCATTCCAGCCCTCTGAGTCTGCACCCAGCCTCCTTCCCTCCTCACCTTTCTCTCCCCAGCACCCACCTCCTCACCCAGGTGAGCCTTCTTGTCCCTTTGTACACACCCCTCTCCTGGTGTGCCTTCCCCTGCCATTGTTGTAGCCATGCATTCCGGAAAACAAACTCACTCAGAATGACAGTGCAGTTTACTATACCAGCGGGCCCAAGGCAGAGTTTCCTCTTAGCCAAGGACTCTGACTGACTTTTGTGAAAACCTTATATACCTTAAGTGTACTGCTCAAGCCCACAACCCCAAGTTCCTTAAACCTAGCCTGGAAAGTCTTAAAGGGAGATACAATCAGGTTACAGCCATGATTCACAATCAGAAGGGTCAGCTGGTTATGCATTGTAGCCTACACCAATGAGTGCCATAAAGATTACAAAAGTGATTGACTACATAGGGGATTAATACATTCTTTTTGGTGACGGGAAATCTTGGTATGGAATCTTGTGTTTATCAGTCCAGGAGGCCAGTTCGGCCATAGGTATGTTATCCCCATGGCTACCAGGCACATAGTCCAAAGCTCACTGAAAATGAGAGATGGAGTTTCCTTCTTTTTCAAGATGGAGTCAGCTCAGCCTGTTCCTTTCCTTGCTCGCCGTCTGCCCAGCAGCTCCCAGCCTCACACATGACCCAGGTCAACAACCCAGCCCCTCCTCTCTGTTCACACACTACCTTGTCCATATTTGTATGCAGCCCTTATTTCAGGGCAGTGATTATTTATAGACGTTCTCTCCACTGGGTTGTGAGTTTGTCCATTTTCATTCATGTCTGTGTCCTCAGTTCTTCAGCAGTGTCTGGAATACAGAAAAGTGAAAGTGAAAGTCACTCAGTCGTGTCCTGCTCTTTGAGACACCATGAACTATACAGTTCATGGAATTCTCCAGGCCAGAATATTGGAGTGAGTAGCCTTTCCCTTCTCCAGGGCATCTTCCCAACCCAGGAATCGAAGCAGGGTCTCCTGCAATTGCAGGCAGTTTCTTTACCAACTGAGCTATCAGGGAAGGTGCTACAAATATTCATTGGAGAAATGGATGAATAAAGGAATGAGTGGACCAAGTCCTTGCTCCCCTTTCCGATTTGCTTATCATCCCCCTTTTGGGGAAGACTTGTTGGACGATACCTCATCCCACCAGCATTCTCTCTGTTCTGTTGCCTCCCAGTCTGAGACTCAGAGCTGCTCTGGCTGCTATGGTTGTTGTGTCTCCAGAGTCCGGTGTCCCCATCCTCCCAGAGCTCCCTGAGGGCAGAGGCTGTGTGGACACAGCCTCTCTGTGGACTGATGTTCTCTGTCCTTCCCCGGTTGGGTCCGCTAGGCATCAAGCTGAGCGGGGACTCAGAGCTTGGGACTCTGCAGCCCTCCGTCCCTGGGCTCCTCCTGCCCAAAGTGAAGCCTCATCCTTTCAGATGGGGGAAATAACCCCCTGCTGTTTACTAGAAGTTCCAGTTCCATAGGAACTGGAAACTACCTGCTCATGGTAGTTTTTCCTGATCTAGAAACAGGGAAAGGAGGAAGAAGGGGAGAAACCTGGATTCCCCACCTCCTCCTTTGGTATTTTGGTCTTTGCTTTTAGAGTGTTTCACACCTCTTAGAACAAAGCAGGTTCAACCTCACATTTTCACAGCTGTTTGTGCTTTTCAAAGACTGTCCCCCAGTCTCACTGGATTCACTTTATCCTCAGTGTAGGGTATAGTTCTGGTGAGGCAGAAAAGGAAAGATGACCTCAACAGAAGTAGGTTACCTTTATTCAGGCAAGGAGGGGCGACAGCCGGCCTAACGACCAGGCTGAGCGCAAGAGGGAACAGGGAGGCTTCATACTTATAGGGAGGTTTGTGGAAGTGATAAGGGAAACGTCAATCAGGCGGGATATTTTGAGTATTCTTTTATTGAGGTGACATTTGTAGTTGGGCAGGGGGTGATAAGTCTTCTGGGCGGGTGTAGGGGGTGGCAGGTTTCCGGACAGGGGGTGATAAGTCCCAGATAGATGCAACCAGCCTGGAGCATCAGGGTGGAACTAAAGTTATGCTTTATAAAGTTTTCTCTGAAGTTAGATGATTCAGCAAGGGCCTTTGAGACTGTTGTTCTTTTTAGGCCCAAAAGACTCCTTTACTCAGGCCACCTGGGCACATAAGCAGGGGAAGGAATTGTTTATCTGGGGGTCTCAGTGCCCCTTTCTGACTTACAGAGCCACGGGGAGAGGAGAGGCTGCTCCAGGAGGAGACCCCCTTGGGATGGGAGTCATGTGGAAGTGATAAGGGAAACGTCAATCAGGCGGGATATTTTGAGTATTCTTTTATTGAGGTGACATTTGTAGTTGGGCAGGGGGTGATAAGTCTTTGGGGCGGGTGTAGGGGGTGGTAGGTTTCCGGACAGGGGGTGATAAGTCCCAGATAGATGCAACCAGCCTGGAGCATCAGGGTGGAACTAAAGTTATGCTTTATAAAGTTTTCTCCGAAGTTAGATGATTCAGCGAGGGGCCTTTGAGACTGTTGTTCTTTTTAGGCCCAAAAGACTCCTTCACTCAGGCCACCTGGGCACATAAGCAGGGGAAGGAATTGTTTATCTGGGGGTCTCAGTGCCCCTTTCTGACTTACAGAGCCACGGGTAGAGGGGAGGCTGCTCCAGGAGGAGACCCCCTTGGGATGGGAGTCACTGGACCAGAAGCTGTGGTCAGCCTAGTCCTTTCTTCGGGGTGAAACCTCCCCAACTCACCACTGTGTGTCTCCCCGTCTCTTACAACATCCAGGGTGAGTTTCGGAGCCCTTCCCACAGGGAGTGGCCAAAAAGGTGTTTGTGTGATGAGAAGTGATCCCAAGAAAAGAGCTGCCCTCCAGCTTTCTCTGCCTTTCTTACCACCCTCCAGAGCGGAGGGTCTCTGGCCTTTGATTCAAAGCACATTCCTGGCCTCAGGGTCTCACTAGCCTCCCCAGCCCCTGACCCAGGCAGGCTTTCCTGGGGGAGGGGGTGGGAGTGGGTTGTAGATGCCCTCATCTCCATCAGTGCTCATCAAGACCTCCTCAAATCAGCGTTATTGCAGGGTCTGAATTATTGTCTTTTCAGGATTATTTACTTTTATTCGTCTTAAATACACAAAATCTAGGTGAAACCAGAGCACTCAGTCAGAAAATGCTTTTTCAAGGTCAGTCCTGAGGCAGCCAATTCCATTCAGTTGCCTCTTCGGAGTCCTTTGTGTGCAGAAATTCTTTCCAGCTCCCCTTTAATTATTTAAAGTGGGATTCAGGGAACACCCGGGTGGTCTTATGGTTAGCTCTCACTGCTGGGGCCCAGGTTTGATCCCTGGTGAGGGAACTAAGATCCTGCAAGCCGCGAGGNCAAAAAAAAAAAAAAAAAAAAAAAAAGTGGAGTTCATACTAACATCTCTCCTCAGAGGTTAGCTATGAGGATTAAGTGAATTTAGAGTCCTGTGACTTGTGGTTGCATATAATGTGATCCTGCCAAAGTTGAGTGGTGGTATCATGGTTCTTGTTGCTGTTGTTGTGGTGGTTGCCATCTGTTACTGCTGTCTGACTCTGGCAGGAAGGATACACCCTTGTGGGCATCAGTCTCAGCCTCCTGGGGAGTTGGCAAAGTCTGGGGGGAGCAGGGAGGAGCCCCACAGGTCGGGCACAGGTGAAGGAGCCCTTGGCATGGGAAGGACACAGTGGCTTCACTACCCTGGACTTTCAGGGCTGGAGAGCCTCTAAGCCCATCTTGTTAGCTGTTTTCCACAACTGTAAGCTCGGAAAGAAAAAAAATGCCACAAAAACTTTTATTTGGCTCTGGAATACTAATTCGATTTAAGCCTATTTTCCAGAAAACTGAAACCAAAGAGGGCAGATGACTTGTTTAAGTTCACTCAGTGAGTTAAATAAAAGAGGAAACCTCAGATTCTGTTTTTTTTTTTTTTTAATCTGAAGAACTTTATTGATCTTTTTTAAAGGGATGAGATTATTTGTTTGTCTGTGCCAGGTCTTAGCTGCATCATGCAGAATCTTTAGTTACAGCATGTGGGATCTAGTTGCCTGACCAGGGATTGAATCTGGGTTCCTTGCACTGGGATCTTGGAGTCTTAATCCCTGTACCACGAGGGAAGTCCTAGGACTCCTCAGATTCTGAGCACAGCCCCATTCTTGCACCTCTCTGGTTGAACTCACATATGACCCCTCCTTTCCGACAGAATAAAGTAAAGCATCTTAGCACGCACAGCATTTAGGGCTTTCCACAATCACTCCAACCTACCCTTTTGCACAAAATGAGACTTAGGTTGCAATTTGCAGATTCTCCTCCCGCAATTGCCCACTTTGGGGCCACCTGTCCCTGCCCTCCTTGTGAGCCCCCCTTCCCCAGTCCCACCAGGTTTCCAGATGCTTCTGGTCTGTTTCTCTAGACCAGAGATGCCACCTCCCTCCACTGGGTGCCCGGGGCCTCTGCCTGGTCCTCTTGGTGGCTCATCGCCGGTCCCCTCTCTTCCTGTTTCTGACCTGGACTCATCGCCGGTCCCCTCTCTTCCCCCTTCTGACCTGGATTTCTGGGCCTGTGCCCGCACCTCCCTGGCCCAGAGCTGGTGCACTGGGGTGGGGGCGCGGCAGCTGCCTGTCTGCAGGCTGGAAGGGGAAGAGCCCCATCTGTACAGGGCAGGGCAAGCAGAGGCACGTTCCCAGCCCAGAAGGGCGGCAGCCCTTCCCCGGGCGTCTTGGGATGTTTGCCACAGAGTGGAAAATCCCAGTGTCTGCCTGGTGCCAGGAACCCGCCCCCTCTTGTAACACACCAGAGGCCGCGGGTTAATTCCGTCTTAACTCCCAGCCCTCCGTGGCTCCTGCAGTCTGGTGGCCTCTCCTTGGGTGTGAGACTGGGGGGGAGAGATTCTCCAGCACCAGCGCTCCCCAGCCCTTGGAGGCTTCTGTAACCTTCTCCCTGTGGGGGCCTTGAGGCTGCTCCCCACAAGCTGGCCCTTCAGGAAAGGCTCCCTCCCCGGGGCCTCTGCCCAGCCTCTCATGGGCTTCCTGGCTCTTCCTGTCTCGCTGGCTTCTTTCTTCCCACACGTGTGTGTCTCTCTAGTGGCCCCTGTCTCCCTCCTGCCTCCCCCTCTCTCTTTCTCAGGCTGCCTCCCTCTTCACCTCTCAGGGCCTCTGCTTTT